GCCTGGACCTGTCGATTCATCTTTAATGATGAAAATTTTCTATCAGTTGAGATGATGCAACCACTTTTTCTCATCAGATTGTCAATACATGAATTCCAATATACTTGTCTTTGTTCCTTTTTACATATCAAAAGATTAATAATAATAAAGAGAACATTATACGAACAACTGGAGTAGCTTGATGCAACATTTTCAGTATTGAAGTAACGTGATAAATTGTGTAAGCTATTCACACAACACCGCAATAGTACATACAGTTACGATTTATATTTATATTCTATTCAAAAACAAATATGGTTTATTTTAATATTTGCACAGTTCATCCATTCATCCATCAATCAATCAGGTATTCATGTTCTATTCACGATTGACTTTGATTTCAGTAGTAAATCAGTAGTATCACTGATAGTTCTAATACAATGAAAATGTTACTCAAAGACAATTATATAAAAAAGTGTATACTTGATAAAGAACTATCAACATTAGTTTCAAGTTATTTTCTTTTATCAATATGTGTGTGTTTAGATCTGTTATTAATATATTTGTGGTGTGTTCTGATGTCGACTGATATAAGTAGTATGTATCATCAATCGAAAATGAGCCTGGTGGTAGAAGGTTAAGAAGATCGAAGAGAATGAAAACAGAGAATGATTGGTGTAGAAACGAAGGAACAATCAAGTTTGAAACGATTAATTAACACTTTGCAAATGAAGTATTTACTGTATGGTTTGATTATCACAAACTTATGTATGACTCTGATCAAGTTGTTCAGAACAACAAAGAACAATTTGAGATTAAACCAATCAACTAAGTGAAGGCTTAAAAACTATCAAAACTATTCAGTCTGAGACAATATGACATACAACTACACAGATTTACAAATGAATAATTAACATTTATGAACTAAATCCTAATCAAGAGACAATATGATCTAGCAGGAAGAATCAATTGAGTTAAACAAATATATATATGATTATTAAAAAGTACATTGAATAGACAAACAATCAACCTGATCTAATTGTAGTCAAATATATATATATATATATATATATATATATATATATATATATATATATATATATATAACATTAATTCATCTTTGATGTATAGGATTTGAATTGATCAGTATCTTAGTAGTATATGACCATCTCCAATATTACCTTAAGCTACAAGCATTATAAGCAAAAATGGATAGTAGTTAACAGTGGAATCCAGAACGTGCATTACGTTTTATTTAGGACTCATCACATGGGTATACTTGTATTCTATGGATTGAACGTCAGCCCATTGCACAAATGAGCGGCTATCCTAACTCAGTAGCTAAATGGATGACCCGATGGTGCTCCAAGCAGACGGTAGTAAGCTCGAGTACCAGAGTGAACATCAACTCTGGAATGCAGACATATCCAGCTGACAAAACCCAGACAGGATGAAACGCGTGTATTGGATCCCACTGATAGCCATAGTAGAACGAAATAGCTATCAAGTCATACCGCTTGGTTTTCTATGGTTTTCTAAATAATAGTCAGTCTGTAACGTAAACAATATTGTTATTGACTGAATAAAATGCTCATCTATTTTAGTGTGCAAATCTGATAGTAATAAGTCAGTCAGTCAGTTAGCTACAACGTAGGACCAGGCACATATATGCAACGGTCCAGGTTGCCATACCGCATTAGCACAACAAGATGAACACCGGATTCATAGGAGTGGTTAGGTCAAAGGTGGTAATATATAGGAGAAAGATTGCATATAAGGATATAGTATAGGAAGAAAGAATTAGTTAGTAGAAAGAAAGATATAAAGCGATTTTAATCTCTTAGTTTAAGGGAAGACTAGGAATGTATACACTGACACCATCGTGACCGATTCTGAGCCATGTCACCAAGAGTCTCCAACCATTGGTTACGAAAGTCACGCGGACCCCAACCAAGTAGTCTGCATCTACCAACATGGCTCAGACTAGAGGTTAGTGTCTTCAAGCACTGATGCTACGTTTTGGTTTGGCCGCCTCTAATTCTCTTCCAACCATCTCTAACACCCGTTAGCATTGCACGTCGTGGTAATCGGTGTTCAGGCATACGTAACACGTGGCCCAACCATCTCAGTCGATGAACATTCACAACCTCGTCGACTGATTTACCATCATTTCCTAATACCCTGCGTCTAACCTCACTATTACTTACCCGGTGATCCCAGCAGACGCCAGCAATATTTATAAGGCATCTGTGGTCAAATACTAGTAGCTTACGAGTGTCTTCTACTCTTAATGGCCATATCTCGCTGCCGTAAATTAAAACAGAACGGACTGCCGCGCAGTATACTCGTCCTTTTATTGATAGACGGATATCTCGCCTTCGCCATAAGTGACGTAAGTTGGCGAAGGCCAAACGAGCTTTTCGAATCCGTGCTGAGATTTCGTCCGATACCAATCCATTAGGTCTGATCAGACTTCCAAATAAGTGAAGTTGTCAACGCGTTCGACTACTTCACCCCCAACGCATTAACTCTGATGAGCTACAAAGGTCACATAGCCGCTTACATGTAAAATGGTTAGAAATTTTATTTAAAAGGCTTTGTATCTAACCATTGTTAAAACGAGCATCCTGAATTCCGCTTATAAATACCACTGAACTCAAACAAAATAATTGTGGTTAAATAAAAATATGAAGTGCCGAACCAACACACTAACAACTACTCAGAAAAAAGCAGTTTGATCGGCTTTAAACATTTGACTCTTGAGATCAGCGGTCACCCTTCCAGGTCGGCAAAATCACTACTTATTCAATACTCTTTTCAGATACCTCAAGCAAAAACTATCTTTCGTCAATGTAGGTAACTGGGAAATATCAACTGTTCACATAACTCTAGCAGCATTCAAACGCACTTTGTCTGTATTAAATTAACTTCATCTCTTTTTAATATTTTTCCTCTATCTCTACTATCAAATTCTACCTTATAGCTTCCACTTACATAGTTATAGTCATGTGCAACGTAGAATCTGATACATAAGTACGTCAGCTCAAGTTGTCATGTCTTATTAGCAAAGAGAGATAAAATTATCGAGAAAAATTCCAGATTACTAACAGTAGTAATAACATTTGTAGTAGTAGGAAAGATTAGGTACATGCAAAGAAAAAAGGTATAAAGAAATTTTGTGACAAAGGTTAGGTTCTAAAGCAAAACAAGGAGTGAATGTATATGGACCATTGTGAGTGGTCCTGATTTGTCATCAAAAGTTGCGAATCATCGTTTAGGATAATCACGCCGACTCCAACTCGGTAATCTCAAGCTACTTAAATGACTCACTCCACTTGTTACTGACTTCATGGACTAGTGCCACATCTTGGTTTAGCCACTTTTAGCTTACTTAAATCTACTCTTAAACAAGACAATATTCCCCATCAAGATAGGTGGTGATCGGGTATATGTAACAAACATCCCAATCACCTTAGCTGATAAACATTCATTACATACATACTACTACTAGTAATTCTGAGGATACAAATAAATTCTATAATATATTGAAATTTCTATTCATTCATTCATCATTTTATGATAATAGAAAGAGTCTATAGAAAATCAATTTCACTTCTCTCAACTGATGTATTCAGTTAGAAAGGTAAGTTAAGGTGAGTGAAGTGAAGCGAGGTGAAGTAGCATGCAATAATCACTATCATAACAAACAATTAACTGAATAAATAAACCAGTGAATTAACCGATCAATAAAAATCAACGATTTCGTTGAGTATTTTTGAAGTTTCAATGTGATGTGTTTTTTATTCTTCAAACAACTTCAAGTTGGTTTTCATTTCATATTCATAAAAGGACTGTGTTATACTTGAGTTGATCTAGAATAGTTTCAATATTCAGTCATTGTAATGCATTCAACATTTACGGTTATTTTCTTGTTGTTGTCTAACAGTAAATCAACCAGCACTACATATAGAAGTTTAATTAATTATCCCTAAAGATTTCGTCATTCCAATTCATCATCAATCGGTGACGAAATTTGAAATTATTCAATGGTTAGATGGTGTCATTTTCATTGATGAGACTTGAAGGTAATGGATACATTTGTTTCAATGTACATGGATTTTTGATAGTCATCAAACGGATGTCAACGCGAAAATTTCAGAAATTCTCATTGTGGAAATTAATACAAGATGTCAAGACGAACAGAGTTGTTTTAAACTCGATCTTTATTAAACTTCACTCTGATATGCGATACTTCGTAAAACATTTATGACATATTCATAAAACACAATGACATAAACAGTTATATATTGTAGTTGACATCATGAAGTTACTGTAACAAAACAATCATTGAAAACCAGTAGGCACTAGACAACTGTTTCGTCTTTAATATAAGACTTCTGAATAGTATAAATCCACAAGCCTAACATAGATCAAGTTCAAAAACAAAACACCTAACTGCCTCTCTATAAGCTTTAGACCGCTGAGTCAAGAACGATCGTTTTGAAATGACACTCGGATTTCTTCTTTACACGAATGAGACGAACATTTATACACGATACCGTGCCACTATCTATTGTACAGGACTTAAATGCGATTTCGATCACGAACACGTGACTAATCACACTAGGACGTGAGAATGTTTCAACGACAATAACGAACAATAAGAAATAATAATGTGATAGAAAACATGTGACACATCTAATACTTGTCAGACCATCTACTAGTCTGACCAGGTAAACAATCAATTAGTATTTTCATCAGCTACATATCAGGTTTACGTTTTTAACTTGAGTCAGCTTGCAGCAAGCCTCAGTAATGAGTAATTTCGAGAAGTAACGCCTAGAGTTCTACTAACAGGCTATGATCAATGTAGTTCGGTTATATCGGGTCTGAGGCAACTACACATCAATATCACTAGATAATGATTTCGTAATACTGTAAGTTGACTGACTGACTGACTGTCTTCACAAGCATCAACCATTAGGTCCCAACTGGTTAGTATAAGGATTTATGTCTCGCTATCAAGTCTGAAATTCTTTCAATGGTTCATCAGAGTAAAATACTGAACAGTTCAATGCTACAATGAATGAAATAGCCATTTAATGTTTCCTCATTTTCAATTATTATCTGTCTACAATCAGTCCATCATGTGTATAACATAAACATTTAAACAATCTCTGTAATAAACAAAAAACAAACTAACGCTTACCAATATATTCTAACACTATGCCTTTTCCATGAATATTATATGGATCTAATAAATGTCAATTTGATGTAAACTGTAAACCGTATACATTACTGATTAGACCATAAATTTGCCCAACTAAATATGATTCATCTGGTGCATATAATTTATTATAATCTATTGAATTCAATGAAAATGATCCAGAGGAGATCGAGGAAGAAGAAGAAGATAATGATGATGAATCGATCATTTCTGTTATATCCGAGCGAAGATTAAATTACAGGTAACTCCCGAGGACTATTAGTGGACTAATATTCTATAAATATTCTTATTGTAAAACTATTCAATCATAAGATTATGTATATTTATATCCCTCTTATTATAAGCTTTATTTTGATCTATAATTTATTATTGTACGATTTACGGTTCTTAAACTATGTTCAGTCTATTAATTACTGTCCCCCTCGTTCACAGCCACTTTTTGGCTTATTTGTGTACATATGTTATTTCCTAATTTATGGTGTGTTGTGGTCTGTCTGTTTGATATATAAACCGAGTATGTTTGAAATAAACGATCTGCTCTGATCTGCTCTGATCCGCTCTGGTTCGAAGCTGGTATTTGTGTTCTGGACTCAAGTGGAAGGGCTCGTAGTACATAGGACCAATAAGGACGCTAGACTGCCCACACCGGTTGAACGTCATTGGTTGGCCTAGTGTGAATATTCGTATAAGTCGTATCCGGATTGGTAGATAGGTCGCGTGATAGCAGAACCAGACATACCCAAGGTCATAACAATTGGCGACGGGGATTTTTGGGAAAAAAAAGCGATTCAAGGTCATAACAATTGGCGACGGGGATTTTGGAAAAAAAGCGATTCAAGATCATAACAATTGGCGACGGGGATTTTGGCAACAACAACAAAAAAGTACAAGCGGTGACTCAGATTTTGGAAATAAATTAACTGTTATAGTTGCCGGTGATTTTTGGAGTTAATATTATTATTGGCAGAAAAAAAATGTCGATTTCTTCAGAACAGTTGCAGTTAATATTACAGCAGATGTTAGCCTTTCAACAACAACAGAACCAGCAGATGTTGGCCTTGCAACAACAGCTATTTGAAACAGTTTTGAGCAGAATTTGCATTCAAGCAGAAAATAAGAAATCTATTTATCATGCAGATAATGGTGCAGTAATGGACATTTCAGAAGCATATCCTGTGCAGGGTTCAAATCCCTTTATACCTGAATCAGAACTTAATATTGGTAACGTGTCCAGCTCAGAGCAAGAAAATATTGTGCTAAATGCACATGAAGTTGTGACGACACCAAATGATCAAGAGCCAGACCCTGTAGATGAAGCCCGGAGTCCAGAATTGAATGAAGCACTACTGGTCCTGTCTAGCTCTGAAAATGAATTTCAGCTAGAACGAAATTATGGTCCACGTGATATTAGCCGAGAAAGCTATGGGGACTCGTATTCAGAAAATAACTGCAGTGACACGATGAACCCAATTATACCGAATGTTACTCAAAATCATTGTGAGACAGAAATTTATATTGAATCAGCTTATCCGATATCTAATGACAAGGTAGCAGATATGGGTTCTCAGAATAATGCATGTAATTTTTATGAAATTTTTTATAAAAATGAGAAAAAAATATCGGCTGAGTCAAATTATGGTCAAAAGTCTAATGTAATTTTGTTAGATGATGATTTCCGTAATGATCCATTATCCATTGATGAAATTCCTGATGGATTCGAAAGTAATGCTTCAGAAGGATTAAACTTTGACCTCAAATCAAAATTCGTTCATTATCATCTAGTCGTTTCTAGTGGATCCGACATTCAATGCGAGAAACGTCGTTTAAATAATGTCCTATTATTTGTAACTTGGAGATATAAGGACCCAACATTATTTCGAGGAGGAGGAGAATGTTGGAGAATTCAAAGTTACAAAAAAAAATTCTTTTTTAAAATCCGAATCTAAACTTGGAATCTTCGAAAAAAAAGGGGAGGTGTTATATCCGAGCGAAGATTAAATTACAGGTAACTCCCGAGGACTATTAGTGGACTAATATTCTATAAATATTCTTATTGTAAAACTATTCAATCATAAGATTATGTATATTTATATTCCTCTTATTATAAGCTTTATTTTGATCTATAATTTATTATTGTACGATTTACGGTTCTTAAACTATGTTCAGTCTATTAATTACTGTCCCCCTTGTTCACAGCCACTTTTTGGCTTATTTGTGTACATATGATATTTCCTAATTTATGGTGTGTTGTGGTCTGTCTGTTTGATATATAAACCGAGTATGTTTGAAATAAACGATCTGCTCTGATCTGCTCTGATCCGCTCTGGTTCGAAGCTGGTATTTGTGTTCTGGACTCAAGTGGAAGGGCTCGTAGTACATAGGACCAATAAGGACGCTAGACTGCCCACACCGGTTGAACGTCATTGGTTGGCCTAGTGTGAATATTCGTATAAGTCGTATCCGGATTGGTAGATAGGTCGCGTGATAGCAGAACCAGACATACCCAAGGTCATAACAATTTCTACTTCTGGTAATTTTGTTTTTGTCTTTGTGCCGATTGTTTTCAATGTGGAATTATTGATTAAACAAAAACGAATTATTGGTATATTGTTAATTGTACCGTCATAAACATTAGATATACGATCATCCACTAATAAATAATCATGACTACATACAATTCCAGGATTTGATGGACATGCTGATCCAGTAGCTAATATTAAATTATTATTATTTGATAATACAGATCTAAACGATGACAATGATAAAACAGATGAGGATGATGACGAAGCGAAAGCTGATGAAATTCCATCTACAAGGAACAAAAGTACAAACAGCATAAAATGTGATGAATTGTATGGTGTTCTGAGGTTTACATCAATCCATTTAAATCACACTTGATTAATTCAACCATTAAAAAACGGATAAATGCGTGAAGTATGCTACTTATTTTGACAGATATAAGTAGTATGTAATACCAAAATGAAATGGAGTGACTTTTAGCAAAAGTTTCAGATTGAATTACAAAAATGTTATAATCTCTTTCTTACGGTTATGACCCAGCTATTCCGTTTGCTCACTCGACAAGTCCCCAAATCAGAACACGGTTGAACAGGAAAGAGATTATATTCCAAATAACAAGGTTTATTTATTTATTTATTTGGACACATGAATATTGGTACAAGAGAGCGCCAAGTGTTGACTAATGCTGGTTGGATAAGAATAAGCCAATCAGAGTGCGCCAAAGCAATCGTGCATTGAGCATGCTTTAATCTAGTCTATGTCCTGCTAACAGAAAAACAGAAAAGGAAACGGTGAGGGATTGGAATGACAGGCGAATATGAGGAATGAAGAAGTATGTACAGGACAACTGAAAGAAGACCTGCAAATAAAGGACTTAATTTCGCGAAAGCATTGTGATATTTGACGTTAAATGATAAATTGGTTATCCCCACAAAAGTGTCCGTTCAGTGCATTCGAATATTGTGTAATAACGTTTTATTGTTAATAGCACTGATTAATACTGACAGTTATTATATTTTCATCAACTGAATTAAATAAATTAAACAGTTACTTTTGACAGCCTCTACTCATATTTTCATATCATACTATGACGTTTTTCTAGCTTATTAATACAAACGTGAAGACAGTTCTACCCGACCGTTATTGTTACCTTGACGTGGTGGTCGGGCTTGCCTATCGTGATGAAGCAACCGAGCTATACTGACTGGAACAACTGTTCCTCAAGGTTCTACCACGTCAGAAAGGTCGGTTGAAGAGCGGTAAGACTAACAGCAACAAACCCAAGGTCCGAAGGTGAAGTCGTACTGCTGACTGTACAGAGGTGTGACAGCAGTAAGGTGTTTCCTTCAGACAACCAGCATGACAGCGATGCTGCCTTCCCACAAGGAGGGGTGGGGTTAGAAAAGGTCGACCCTAAAAATGCACACCTCGCCTTATCCCACGGATATCTGTCTCCGGCCGTAAGGTCTCAACAAGTACGGAGCTAACACAAAAATTGCCCATAAAAAGGTCGTGTGTGACCGACCTCAAGCAGTTGTCCCTTGGGCACTGCGTTCACGCTCCTAGGTCACTAAGACCACTTCTAATGCGATTTCCTTTTCATGTACCTCCAGAAAACCCCTTCCACGGTGTGGGCAACCAGGAAGTAATAACCTCCCTCATACATCTAACAGCACTCAAGACCATTGTATTCCTAATCAACCTCCCTCTTCAATTCCTATTATTCCTCCTACATCAACTTCCAACTCTAAACTTCCTCTCTCGGCTTCCACCTCAAGTGTCACCATAGCCAACGATTCTAGTGCTCAAAACACTGTCCCAGGTCTACTGAAACCTCGCTCCAAACTACACATTGGAGCCTTCAATGTACGCACCCCATGTCAAATCGGTCAACAGCCTTCCTTGGCTAAAACCCTAGAATCTCGTACTATTGATGTATGCTGTGTCTCCGAAACACGCATACAGGATCCCAGTGTGGTCATTCACTTGACCTCACCTCGGAAAAACGGAGAGCCAACGAGATACACCCTCCATGTATCTGGTGACCCGATGGCCAGCTCTCGTGGACTGGCAGGAGTAGGGATAGCACTAGGCATGAGGTCTGAACAAGCACTGTTAGAGTGGATCCCCGTCAACAGTCGTCTATGTGCTGTCCGGCTAAACGGCTCCGTAAGAACTCGGAAGGATAGGGACACACGTCGTTGCCTTTTTGTCGTTTCTGCTTACGCTCCCACCGACTGCAGCTCAGATGAAGTGAAGGATGAATTTTACAGAAACCAACCTGAACTTCTTCAGAAAGCTAAACGTTCAGACATAGTACTCGTAGCAGGTGACTTTAATGCCCAGATAGGTAGTCTCAACCAAACAGAAAGGCATTTAGGTGGGTATTTTAGTATACCGGCACAATGAACAGATAATGGTGATCGTCTGCTGCAACTACGTTCAGACAATCGTTTATTTTTAGCAAACAAATTTTAAGCATAAGGAGAGACATCGTCTAACATGGCGACCCCCTACACCAAACCAACGATGGACTCAAATAGACCATATTGCCATCAGTCATCGTTGGAGAGGGTCGGTAGAAGATTGTCGCTCATTCTGGAGTACCTGCTTGGACTCCGACCATGCCCTAATACGGGCACGCATCTGCTTGCGCCTCACTGGACGCAAAAAAGCCACATTAAAAAGACCCATTAGAACTGAGTTGAGTAACGAGAAAACCAAAAGTAAGTTCCAGGAACAACTGAGGTCACACTTAGGTAGTTCTGAAATCGAGGCTGACCCAGATGTTGCTTGAAAAGATATGCAAACAGCTGTGGAAACAGCAATGAAATCTATTAGTGACTTAACCCACAGAGTTACAAAGAACCAGTGGATTTCTTCAAAGTCTATCACACTGATGGATTCTCGCAAACTCGTCCCATCAGGTTCCGAACATGATGAAGAGCGACAACAAATCAGATCTAGGTTAAGAAAAAGTCTAATAAAGGACCGTGAGCAGTGGTGGGCAACGAAAGCAAAGGAGATGGAAAAGGCGGCGGCTATAGGAAACACAAGACAGCTCTACAGACTAATAAAAGAAACTGGAACTAATAAGTCAAGTGTAAGTGAGATTATTTCGGAAAAAGACGATACCCTCATCTATTCCCAGCCCAGACGTTTAGAACGATGGGCGGAACACTTTAGGGAACAGTTCAGCTGGCCTTCAGCGACTCTACAACTACCGTACATTCCCAGACGGTGTGAATGAAACATTGAAGTAGGTCTACCAACTCTAGCAGAAGTTCAAAAGGCTATAGTTAATCTCAAACGAGGAAGGGCAGCTGGTTCAGATGGATTGGCTCCAGAAGTCTTTAAGGATGGTGGTCCAATTTTAGCGGTTAGGTTGACTAATATTTTAGCTAAGATCTGGGAGTTAGACGTTATTCCATCTGACTGGTCGCCATCACTTATCGTCCCAATATATAAGAAAGGATCAAAATCATTTTCTGACAACCACAGAGGGATTAGTTTAACAAATATAGTATCTAAAATACTGGCCTAAATAATAATCAGACGCCTAACTAAGACTCGTGAACTGCAAACACGAGAAAACCAAGCTGGCTTCAGACCTGGTCGTGGCTGCATCGACCACATATTCACCATTCGTCAGATTCTAGAACACAGGCATACTTATCGGCGTCCGACAATGGTGGTCTTTCTTGACTTAAAAGCAGCATTTGACTCGGTAGACCGCGAGATTCTGTGGCAGTGTCTGTCATTGAAAGGCGTACCCCAGAAGTACACAAACCTTGTAAAGGCTCTTTACTCGAACACTAACAGTCGAGTCAGAGCTTATGGCGAACTGTCATCTAGTTTTGCAACCTCAAGTGGTGTCCATCAAGGCTGTCCACTTTCTCCATCTCTGTTTAACTTCATCATAGACCTACTGATGGAAATAACATTCTCGTCGCACAAGTGTTTATAAACAATTGTTTACGTAAAATATTGAATGTCCGTATGCCGGATACCATCAGCAACAGCCAACTGTGCGAGAGAACAAACTAGCTTCTAAATGAAGAGGAAATTAGGAAAAGACGCTGGATAAGACATGTATTGCGGAAATCATCAAACTAAATCGCGAGGCATGTCCTAAATTGTAATGAAAGGGAGGATCAAAAGCAAACATCAAAAGAATCAATAGCAACTAGAAAGGATTTTTCAGAACAGAGTTCCAGGAAGAATTCTGGTAGGGCGGCCTAAGCTCCTCACGGGGGTCAACAAACGCAAATAATGATGCCAAGCTAGGTTAATTACATTAATTTTACATTGAAATTTAATCCAAACATAAAGAATGCCTTTGATGTAAAAACAATGTAAGCCCATATCAACAAAAATATATTTGTATATATATTTTGAAAGCAAGAGAAATGGAAAGGTCAGCGGCAATAGGTAATAGCAAACAATTGTTCAGACTTTCTAAGGATACCGGTATTAGGAACTCAACTGTTAGCGAAACTTTCTCAGAAAAAGACGGATACATTATACTTTCTCAATCCAGGAGATTGGATCGACGGGTAGAACACTTAAGGGATCAGTTCAACTGGCCTTCAATCACACTTCGGTTTCACACGACCTCCAGTCAACCTGAATGGCAATTTAATGTAGGTCCTCCGCCTCTTTACGAAGTTGTAAAAGCCATAGGAAAGCTGAAGCAAGGGAGAGCAGCAGGCCCTGACAGGTTTACTCCTGAGATTTTTAAGGATGGTGGTCCAGTATAAGCAAGAAGATTAACTGAGGTCTTAGGTAGAATTTGGTAACTGGACGTAATCCCATCTGACTGGTCTCAATCACTGATTGTGCCAGTCTATAAGAAAGGACAAATGTCCTCTTGTGACAATCACAGAGGAATCAGTTTGACAAATATAGTGTCTAAAATATTAGCTTCAATAATACCTCGACGCCTAACTAAAGCTCGTAAAGAGCAGACTAAAGAAAATTAGACTGGTTCTCGACTTGGACGTGGTTGTATGGACCAGATATTCACACTACGTCAGGTCCCAGAACATAGACACACATCAAGACGCCCCACAATCGCAGTATTTCTCGACCTCAAGGCGACATTCACCCATGTTGATCGTGAGGTTTTGTGGCAGTGTTTGTCACTAAAAGGAGTACCAAAGAAGTTCATTAACTTGTAAAAGCTCTCTACTCGAACACAACTGGTCGAGCGAGAGCTTATGTCGAACTGTCATCAGAATTGATTACCTCAATTGGTGTTCGTCATGGCTGTCCACTTGTGTGGACAAGACAATTTACGGGCGTAAAATATATTGACAAAGGTATTCAAGATCAATAGTGCTGTTAATGTATATAAGTTAATTGTTACAAATACAATAGAAAATAGGGACTTTACTTAAATTCACTAAATTGATGCGTGTCCGCATTTGGTCTGGTGTTGAAAATCCACAATTATAAATGTTTGATAATTCCAATCAAGTTGATGAACTCTCCAATTATATAATCCAATGAAAGGTATGATACATTCCCAATCACAGTCTATAAATGTTGATAATATTCGATTTGGGCTTCAGTTAACTCAATCATAAATGAATGTAGAACAAGGGATATGTGTGCAACAATGTATTTGTTAGCAATCCACGGTATGTCATGCTATGTAAGTTACACAACGGAAAGTTTGTTCAAGGTCATTCACTTAAATAACACGTACAGCCATTTCACGACAAATGTACATACAGTGGAAAATTGGCAAAATAAGTACAAATAACATTAAAAACTATTCACAAAATAAGCTTCTCAGGTATATCTATACACACTCACTCCACTCTTGTTTAACTTTGTCGTTGACGTGCTTTTGGAGATAACACTTTCCTCGTCTAGATTTCCAGAGGTTGAACTTCTACTGGGAGATTCACTTGTTGACCTAGAATATGCTGATGACATAGTTCTATGTGGTGAAGACGCTGACAAAATGCAGAGTCTTCTGACCACTCCAAGCAACAATGCAAGCATGTTAGACATGCGATTCTCTCCCTCGAAATGTAGTCTTGCTTCAGGATTGCGTTGCATCGACACCCGAACTAATGATAGAGAGTGAAGTAGTTGGACGTGTCGACCTCTTCACTTATCTTGAAAGTCTGGTGTGTGACGAAATCTCAGCACGGACACAGATGGCTCGACCGGTTTACTGTGCAGCAGTTCGTTCCGTCTTACTTTATGGCAGTTAAACATGGCCGGTAAGAGTAGTTGATATTCGTAGGTTACTAGTATTCGATCATAGATGTCTTCGAAACATTGCTCGTATATCCTGAGAACACCGAGTAAGTAATTCAATTGTTAAGAAACGGATACTAGGTAAGGATGGCAAATCGATTGATGACGTAGTGAAACTGTGGCACCTTCGTCTGGTGACGACGCAGCACTAATCGACTGGATTCATAATACTAGTCGGTTATGTGCTGCTAGATTAGAAAGTTCCATCAAAGTGAGAAGAAACCGGCGTGAGAAACGATGCTTTTTCGTCATCTCTGCCATGCCTCGACAGATTGCAGCCCGGATGAAATCAAGGATGAGTTTTACCACCAATTATCTGTTCTTCTCCAGAAATAGCGTTCGACAGATATTGTAGTACTAGCCGGAAACTTGAATGCTCAGGTCGGTCGTCTGGGCACAGAAAAGAGTCGTTTAGGTGGCGGATGAGGAATCGTTGGTCGCAGGTCAGATAACGGGGACCGTCTAATGCAACTATGCACAGACCACAACCTGTTTCTGGCTAGCACTAACTTTCGGCACAGTCATCGCCGATGTGCTATCTGGCGTCCTCCCACTACACCCCAAGCCTGGACTGAGATTGATCACATCTCGATCAGCTACCGCTGGTGTGGTTGTGTACAAGACTGCCGCTCCTTTTGGAGTGCCTATCTGGACTCTGATCATACCAATCATACCAATCACGCCATTCTTACCTTACTTTTCAGTGGCCAACGAAGTGACCGTCATCAACGGATTGATGTTAGCAAGCTAGTTGCAACTTCTGTTGCAAGTAAGTATCGAACCGAGCTAGTTTCTAGGCTAGCTTCCATTCCACCGAAACGTTTAGATGGGCATTAGTTGCAACTGCATGAAAATGGCGAGTAAAGCCGCTTACTGCTTCGCGAAACGTTCCCGCTTATAAGTACTGGGTTTCTTCAGGCTCCTTAAAACTCATTGAAGCCCGTTGGACTACTCCGGGTGACCGTGGGTTTAACCACAAATGAAGGATGTTACATAAGGAAATCGGGCAAAGCTTGAGAATGGAGCGTGCCAATGAGCTGAAAGCAGCAGCTGCATCTGATAACTACCAGAAGCTCTTCTAACTCATCCAAACCACTGGCAACAAGACGTCTGATGTGAGGGAAACAATATGCGATGATGACGGTTTGTCTCCCGTCATACTTCGTAGGTTATTTAAAACCCGAAAGTGATTGACTCAACAAATGTTAGAACACCACCATACTTATCACATTGTTTCTCGACATCGGGGCTGCTTTTTATTCGTTGAACAGGACTGTTCTCTGGGATGCTCTATTACAGAAGGGTGTGTCTTAGAAATTCATTAACATCTTGGTAGGATCTACAACGTGTCGTTGAGAGCAGTTTTGCTCTATACTTGTGAAAACTGACCTCTCCGAGTTGAGGATGTTAGACGACTCTCTGTATTCGATCATCGTTGTCTCAGAAGGATTGCTCACATCCAGTGGCAACACCATGTTAGTAATGCAGAGGTTCTGCATCGTGTTTTCGGGCACGTAGAGGATGACGCAGTTGTTGTAACCATCTTGAAACACCGATTTCGGTGGCTCCGACATGTTCTGCGAATGTCGTCCCAGAGAATTCCACGTCATGTATTATTTTCCGACTCTGCGACTGGTTGAAAAAAGCCGATAGATGGTCAGCGTATGACATGGTAACGTGGTATAAGGAATGTCATTGCACAGTAATGGATCACTAGAAAAATCAGCATCTATCAAGACTGCTTCAGGTTTTTAATCATGTCTGGGTTCATTTAACATATTTTCCTCACATTTGTAAGAAATTTCATCAGAAATATGTGGATCATTAGGAAAAGCCCTATTTGGTACACTAACATGAGAAATCTTATAAGTTGGTTGATTAGGAACTGTTGTCTTGCAAGAATTCTGAATTTCATTTAACTCTGAACTGCCATATGACTCTGCACTGTCTTTTGAAATCGTTGATAGAGAGAAATGATCATCATGAATACTCGACTCAGTAGAATCAGAATTACAAGACTTAATATTAGTTGTAGTAAAATAAACATTAGTATTGCAGACTGACTGAATAAGTCCAATATCACCACATTTAAAGCACTTAGAATTACGAAATTTACATGAATTAAAAGAGTGGAACATGCCACAGGACAATTACTGACCAAACTTGTGCTCATCTTCGTGAAATGCATTGCAACTCCTCAATGAATTATCTGCATAACTTTGAGTATGCACTAGGTCGGGATGACGTAGTAACATAGTGGAATTTTTTGTATCCTCATGAATCATTTTACGAGATCTCCGTCTTTTACCGCATTTGAAATTTGTATAATTAACATAGTCTAGCAGCAGTTCCTTGAGAGTTGTATAAGGAAGCGAGAATGGCTTTTCCGGCATAGCCAGAGTTCTTAATAAGCTGTATGTTTCGTTTCCGATGAATGTGAGGAAATGTGCCACAGTATTAACATCCTCATCATCTTCCTTGGTCATAGAAACTTTTGCTAAAAGTCACTCCATTTCATTTTGGTATTACATACTACTTATATCTGTCAAAATAAGTAGCATACTTCACGCATTTATCCGTTTTTTAATGGTTGAATTAATCAAGTGTGATTTAAATGGATTGATGTAAACCTCAGAACACCATACAATTCATCACATTTTATGCTGTTTGTACTTTTGTTCCTTGTAGATGGAATTTCATCAGCTTTCGCTTCGTCATCATCCTCATCTGTTTTATCATTGTCATCGTTTAGATCTGTATTATCAAATAATAATAATTTAATATTAGCTACTGGATCAGCATGTCCATCAAATCCTGGAATTGTATGTAGTCATGATTATTTATTAGTGGATGATCGTATATCTAATGTTTATGACGGTACAATTAACAATATACCAATAATTCGTTTTTGTTTAATCAATAATTCCACATTGAAAACAATCGGCACAAAGACAAAAACAAAATTACCAGAAGTAGAAATTGTTATGACCTTGGGTATGTCTGGTTCTGCTATCACGCGACCTATCTACCAATCCGGATACGACTTATACGAATATTCACACTAGGCCAACCAATGACGTTCAACCGGTGTGGGCAGTCTAGCGTCCTTATTGGTCCTATGTACTACGAGCCCTTCCACTTGAGTCCAGAACACAATACCAGCTTCGAATCAGAGCAGATCGTTTATTTCAAACATACTCGGTTTATATATCAAACAGACAGACCACAACACACCATAAATTAGGAAATAACATATGTACACAAATAAGCCAAAAAGTGGCTGTGAACAAGGGGGACAGTAATTAATAGACTGAACATAGTTTAAGAACCGTAAATCGTACAATAATAAATTATAGATCAAAATAAAGCTTATAATAAGAGGGATATAAATATACATAATCTAATGATTGAATAGTTTTACAATAAGAATATTTATAGAATATTAGTCCACTAATAGTCCTCGGGAGTTACCTGTAATTTAATCTTCGCTCGGATATAACAGGTTTATCTCTCATGAGAAATGAAACACCAGTAAGTAAGCAGTGTTTTACTTTTGAATGACAAATATAATTGACATTCAATCGATGCATACCTGTAATACCTGTAACTATTTTTGAAAACCAGAAACGTCTTTCGCATTTTAACTTAGAAAACTGGAAGGTGAACTTCATGAATGGAATTATAAATTAACTTCATAATCGTTACTATCAGATTACTTTAATCATATTAAATCTCTGTACAATGTGAACCATTACATAATGAGATAGTTCCAGTTCTTCTATAGGTTGTTGTTAAAACTCAGTTTAGTAGATCTATAATAAGCCTCATGAGATTGGCTTAACTAATCACAGATAAATAATAAGGAATTTATAATTCAATAAGAAAAACGTACTCAGAAAATAATAATTACAGAATTCACGACAGTTTGAGAGGAGAATTATCCATTTGACACAACATGGTAACACTAGATATACATAACAAACATGTGATAGTAGTAAGTTTTAAGTATACTAGTTCAGTAGTTGTTTAGGTAGTACATGTATTACAGCAATCCAATGCATCAGCCGTGAACTCTTAATATTTCTTAAATGGACAGCTCGTTGATTTATGAACGGAGTAGTTAAGGTCATTTCGTGTGCCAGATCGAAAATATGATACTTATCTACAACTAGAGGAATGAAATTGAAAACAGAGAGCACGGAACAACAAAGCATTAATTACTAAAAAATATCAATCAGGTCTACCCAAATGTGTGTGTCATGTGACCCGGTGATATACTGTTGATGTTATTCAAATTAGTTAAACTTTCTGGGTATGGTGTTAACATAAAGTGACAGCAAGTAGGTGGTCTTACTTAGGGGGAATGCAGTAATAAAAATGGCTAAACATTTAGAGTTCCTATAACCTAACTTGTGGAATAAGATACACTTACAGATGCTAGACCATTCAATGCATTTTCAGAGGAGCAGTATGCATCGATGCTGCGAATAAATAATGGGAGTGATTTTATCGCACGGATAGATTGTGGTAGGTCATTCCATAGTCTAGAAAATTTACAGGTGAAGTAATTCATATAAAAAGATGGTTGAGAATGAGTTTGTTTCACTAGTGCCAAAGAATTAAGGATGTCATAATGAGAAGTTTCTGCATATTGAATCGCGTGATTGGATGTAAACGATAGTTCATGAAGTAGTTTAAAGAAAAAGATAAGATTTAGTTTGAGTCTCCTCCTCCATAAATGGTCTTTCCATAGTTTATCACATCTAGAATTATAAGTTAAGGTGTAATCAGCTGCAAGAATACGAAGTGTAAATCGTCTCTGTACTGAGTCCATCCTTAATTTATCCTTTATGCGCGCACTGCTAAGAATAAATATGCAATATTCTAAAAGAAATCGAACCTTTGTACATTAGAATACTTGACTCATTGTTGTAAAGGTTTCGAGTTATGTAATCTATTAGAAGTTGAGACTTAGATGTCTGTTTTAATATCTGTTCTGTAAATGATAAGTCTTGAGAGTATCTAAGTCCTAAGTATAGTACTGTATGAAACCTAGATAACACTTCTCGATTTATGGTACTGACTAGGGTGAGTGATGTATCGCCGAAACATATCCATCCACATTTGGCCCTTATTAAGCTCCAGTTGCAATTTCAAGCACCACTGTGCTCCCTTGTTAAGCTCCATGCTGATGCAATTTTACATATTTTTCAGCTCATGTGGAGAAAATGAATATACTACTTTAAGATCATCTGCATATAGAAGGGGCTGACGGACGCAAAAACGTTCACAAATATAATTGATAAACACTAAAGAGAGCAAAGGGCCTAAGACACTACCTTGTGTTACACCAATTCTAACAGGGACAGCGTTAGACAATGAAGAGTTAATTTCAACTATTTGATGTCGATCGCTTAGGAAGGCATCATACCAAGCAAGCTAAGAATTTGGAACCCCATAAGATGCGAGCTTACCTATAAGAAATTGGTGGCTAACCATATCAAAGGCTTTAAAAATGTCCAGATATAGAACTAAGACTAGATATCCTTGGCTACATAGAGAATAGACTAAATTAAAGAAGTCAAAATGACATGTCATGCAAGAACGATTATTAAGAAATCCATGTTGAGGATCATTGATTAATTTTCCAGCGAGCATATAGTTGGAAAGTTCATCACTTATAATTTGAGTTGGGTAACGACATTTTATCTAGTTCATCTAACTAATCATGTCATTACCAACATTTTACTTGATATATTCGTACTTCCCTCAATAGAATAGAACACTGTATCATCCATCCAACTTATCCAAGCCACCATGTCTGATTCTATTTATACTTCACACTATTATCCTACATAAAAATTCAACTCCATACTGCTTACACATATTCCATCTATTAACATAAACACATACAACTACACAAACATGTCTCATATAAATCCCTTCGACCGAAATCATATAACATTAACTTGGTCAGACTTTCTTTTCTGATTAATTTCACTCAATATTCTTACTTTGTTCCTTTATATTAAGTAAACTTGAGTTCACTTACTGTGGTTATTTATTCTCGGAAGAAGCAATTTACACTGAGTCACAAAACGTCAACAAGTTCAATTTTTCTATCCATTACTTACTTACTTACGCCGGTTACTCCACATGAAGGAGCTTGTAGTGTCAGTTATTATGGCAAGCCCATCTACCTTATTCTAACTTGCGGACATCCTATTTTATTCATCCTACTGGAGCCATATTTTGACCTTGTTAATTATTCGCTTATTAGCCTTGACTGTTTTCATATGAGCGTATGTGTGTACACTTTATGTCCCGTGACTCATCACATGTCTGTCGTTTATTTTGTCTGCCTATAAATATTAAGTAATGCCTAGCTTGAAATGGAGTTGGCTTCCCAGCCATCCTCCCTGTGCGTCATTTTGCTTGGCTCTGTTTCATCCGCTTCATGTACGAAATATATGTATTGTCAAGTCAATTCTCGTTATTCGACTTATTTAATTCCGTTATTGGATAACGCGATCTAAGTTGACAATGATATACGAGAATAGGTGATAGCAAACACTCATACAATCTAATTGGAGTCAGATCACGGGCCGCCACAAGCTCCGTCCAGTTGTATTTCATCGTTTTCATATCTGCTTCTATTATCCAACGCAATGTGTTCTTTGGCCTTCCACTTTTTCGCTTCTCTTCAGGATTCCAAGTTAGGGCTTGCCTCGTGATACAGTTTGACGATTTGCGTAATTTATGTCCTATCCATTTACATCGTCTTTTCCGAATTTCTTCTTCAACTGGAAGTTAGTTTGTTCTCTCCCACAGAAGGCTATTGCTGATGGTATCCGGCCAATGGATGTTGAGTATCTTGCGTAGACAGCTATTTATAAATACTTGTACCTTCTTGATGGTTGTTGTTGTAGTTCTCCAAGTTTCAGCTCCATACAGTAGAACGGCCTTGACGTTGGTATTGAAGATTCTCACTTTGATATTGGTTGAAAGTTGTTTTGAGTTCTATATGTTCTTTAACTGTAGGAATGCTGTCCTTGCTTTTACAATCCTTGCCTTTACGTCTGCATCTGAAAATCCTTGTTCATCGATGATGCTTCCTAGGTATGTAAAGGACTCTACATTTTCCAGAGTTTCGCCATCAAGAGTGATTGGATTGTTGTTTTCCGCTTTGAATTTGAGGACTTTGGTTTTCACTTTGTGTATGCTGAGACCTACTGATGCAGAGACTGCTGCTACACTGGCTGACTTCATCTGCATCTGTTCGTGTGTACGTGATAGCAGGTCTAGGTCATCTGCGAAGTCCAAATCGTCTAATTGATTTCGAGCTGTCCATTGAATTCCGTGTTTACTTTCAGATGTCGAGGTCTTCATAATCCAGTCGACCACCAGAAGAAAGAGGAAGAGATAGAGAGTAAACAGCCTATTCTGACTCCGTTCCTTACTTAGAATGCATCTGTCAGCTGTCCTCCATGCACTACTTTGCACTGTAGTCTGTCGTATGAGTTCCGGATAATGTTGACAATCTTCTCAGAAACTCCGTAGTGTCGAAGAAGTTTCCATAATGTCCTCCTATCTACACTGTCGAATGCTTTTTCATAATCAATGAAGTAGATGTATAGTGATGAGTTCCACTCAACTGATTGTTCGACGATGATCCGAGGTGTTGCATTTTGGTCTGTGCACGACCGATCGTTACGGAATCCAGCTTATTGATCTCGAAGTTGGGCGTCTACTTCATTTTTCATCCGGTTCAGCAATACTCTGTTGAAGACCTTCCCTGGTATTGACAGCAGTGTAATGCCTCTATAGTTTTCACATTTGCTCAGATCTCCTTACTTTGGAATCTTGACGATGTCCCATACTTTCCCGTCCATCGGCACTTGTTCCTCCTCCCAAATCTTTTTGAATAGATGGTAAATCGTGTTTGTAGTTGCTTCGATGTCTGATTTCAGTGCTTCAGCTGGTATGTTGTCCGG